TTTATAACAATTTTTAATATCTTATATCGAGAATTGTTAAAACTTTGTATAGTTTTTGTTTTCAGCAATTTTTTTTTCCACCTCTACAAAAAGCAATCTAAAAAAAGTTTTAGTTTAATTCTTAGATTTTTTAGATTTAGAGTTATTACAAAAAAAAAACATTATGAATAGTTTATTAGTCTTGCTTAATTTTTTTTTCTATGTTTCTTATTTCGCTGATGGATAAATTGTTAGCAGATTTAGCAATACGATTATTAGCTAAAGAAGTGATAATCAGATGACTTTTTTGTCTTAGTCATTTTTACAGTTTATTAGTGCAAAAAAAGAAGAAAGAAATTTTGTAAGTTGTTATTCATAACTTTATAGTAAAACAAAATTTTGGATGGCTCTTTATAGCATTCATTCTTTCTCTTTTTACCTATTGTTTTTGTCAACTTTTACATGAAATATTATATCTGTTGCAACACGAAAAAAAGTTAAGCAACTTTTAAAAAGGCTGTGGAAAGTTCAGAATTTATTTTCATTTGACTAAAAATGGCAATTAACAACAAAATAGTAATAGTAGTTGTGGTAATTGAACAAATAAATATAAAAATGAGATATTCTGTTATTTCTCTCCCTCTCTCTCTCTCAAACTCCAATTTTATTCTACTGCTTTTTTTTGCATTATTGAAATCTAATATTTTCATCAATAAATTGTTGAAACATTATATCCATAAGGTGAAAAGGTATACTTCAAAAGTCGTCTATTAATAGGTACATTAATTTACTTCTCTGTTTTGTTTTGTTTTGTTTTTTTTCATTTTGCTTTTTCTCTTTCTTTTCTTGATCCAAAATCAAACAACACTTTAGTGACAACAGAAATTTGGAGGAGCTTTCAAACAAAAAAAAGCAAAAATCAGTAAGTGAAAATTGCTGAAGTTGTTGCACAAGGCTTCTAACAGAAGCAAAGTTTTAAATAATATGTGCAAAAAACTGTGGATTGTATCAGAAGCAGCAATACCTTTTGCAGAATTTTGCAGTCTTTTTTTAAGTATGGATAGTTATGTTGATTTTCGCTTACAGTGAGTAGCACTATGGAAAGCAGATAAAAAAGTTATCTTACAGTTCAATTACAGTACTGTAAACGTTTTTAAAGATTTACAGTTGTACGAGAAAACTATTGTTGAACAATCAAACTGTTATTGTACAGTAAAGAAGAAACAGAGTTTCAGCAGTTTATCCATTGTCTGTTAACAACAATTTTCACGGTACTGTTATCATAGTTATCTGAAATAAGAATTAGCCAAATAAACGTTGACATTAGACTGTCATCGGAGGCAATTTACAGAATGAACTGTCTTTTGTAGTACAGTAAAGATGCTTCAAATTTTCTACTCCTTCTCAAGTTTTGCTCTTATCTTTTCCTTTTGATTTTCATTCATTTACCATTGATAAAATTATCAATAAGTTTTACCTACTGTTATGGTGGTGGTTATGCATTTTTTTTTTTTTTT